CTGGCTTAGTAGAAGTCGATGGACACTGGAAAAGATACTGAGGAAAAAGAAGCATTCTGGAAGGGAACCACATGAAGAAGAGAAGGCCTCTGGACCTGGATTGTGTGAGATTGATCAATTTTCAAGGTCATTTGCTGAAGAAATATCAGTGATCCTAGGTTTGCTATTATACCCACATCCATCATTCAGTCATCCAGCAGTTGACTGTTCATTCACAGAATAAAACATATTCTCTGACCTCAGACCCATACTGAAATCTAACCATAACACAGGTGGCGCAGTATCCCGGATAGCCCTCCATCCCCTTCCCTTCCATACAACTCTTTAGGGGCCATGACACTGCTCCATAGGAGTGGAAGCTCTGCTGTTTCCCTGAGTCACAGGTTGTGTCTCAAGTACCTTCTGCTTTGGGGGTGATTTTTATTCTAGCAAGCTGAAAAGAGCTGAATTGGCCTAGGGAGAGAAAGCAGGAACCATAAGAGGTTACGGAGAGAAATAAAAGAGAATTTCCCACAGATTGTGTTCATTTTGTGTTCACAAAGCTAGCAGAACAAATGGATTCAGGGGTAAAGAGAGCACATTTGGTTCAAAAGTCAAACATTAGAGTTACTGATAGCTGGTTAACAGTGAGAACCACAACCAGCCGCAAGGTTCCAGGAGGGAAAATCAAATTTATAGGTGGGAAAGTAAGTACACAGCCTGATGGGAGATGAAGGAAGACAGGATCAGCTGATGGATCTGCCTAATCTTTTATACACTGTACTTGACCATTGAATGTGTTCACTTGATTGGATTTATATTACCTCAGTGCTCTTTTTAATTGTAAAAATGATATCTACATAACAATTCAAAGGATGCAGACTTGTAGATAAAGAAAACTCTTCACCGTTTTCCTTCCTAATGTAGTCAGTGCTAGCATGTTGAAGTGTAGCCTCCAAATATTTCCTGTGCATATAAAAGTCTGGTATTTAACAGTTACTTATATATTCCTGGTGCTTAAGAACATGGACTGTAGCACTAGAACTCCTGGGCTTGAATCCTAGGTCTACCATTTGCCACCAATGTGACTTTGATCAAATAGCAAATTCTCTGGACATTAAGGTGTAGGGTATTTTTTGTTTGTTTGTTTGTTTATTTATTTATTTTTTTGCTCATCTATAAAATAGGAATAGTGATAGCTTATACCTCAGAGATATATTGTCAGGATTAAATAAGATACATAAATCACTTATAATGAAATAAGGAACTTGATGAACATTATATTGTTATTACCACTACTACTAGTAACACAATTATGACTGCTACTATAATTACCATTTTCTTTGGACACACTAAAACAGGTTTATGTCTTATATATTATAGTGACTTGAAATTTCCACTTAAAATTTATCCAGTACAGACATTCTTCTAAGTGGATGATAAATAGATTTAACTCATCTTTGAAGTAGCTCAGAAACCAACTAAGGAAACAGAAATGCTGTGGATGTGCTTGGTGTGTCAGCATTGGAGGTAGTAAGGGCCAAAAGCAATGGGATCTAAAGGACAGCCCGTTGGGGGCTTGTATAGGTGGGTGCCCGGGGGCTATGCCATAGGGCCTTATTCTGGGTACAATGGAGTATCTGGAGGCACGTGGAAGTTGGAGGGGTATGGGTTTGGATTAGAGATACTGCACCTGCAACAACTGAAAAGGTCCTGGGAAATGTTCCTTGTCAGTCTATTTATAGGCTTTCATTTATCTATCTCCACCTGTGGTTTTGTATGTCAGTTAGCATCCTTGTACATATGTCTTCATTACTGCTGCTCTTATTTCTTTTATTAGAAGAGGGTTTTCTGGGTCTAAGGATAGGAACATTTTTGAAACTGAGTTGTAACTGTCAGATTGCTTTTGAAAAAAAGCACAGATGTTCTCCATCCTTCCAGGAGACTGTAACGGTATTCCCATAGCATTTCCGACTGTAGACATTATGTGCTTCCTTCATCTTCTTCATCTTCATCTTTTTACCTGCTCCTTCTCCTCATTCTCTTTCTCTTAGTTGTTTTTCTGTTTGTTTTACAATTCTGGGTAACATACATTATATTTTCCATTGCTTAATTACTAGTAAGGTTAAGCATTTTTTCATAGAAATGGGCTTTTTGAATTTCTGTGCATATCTTCTCTTACATGGATAGGATTTCCATAGCTAGAAAGATGTGGGAGAAGGAACAGGAAGGAAAAAGAATGCAAAGAGAATATGAAATGGAAGCTGGGCATGTCCAGGGATGCCAGGTGGCCTGGAAGCCACAGGGACAATGGCAACAGGAGACAAGGCTGCAAAACCTAAGGACACCTAGCTGGAGGCCTTACACATGAGCAGGAGGGACTGAGATGGTCCCTGTGAACAAAGGTGGAGCACTGGGGGTTCTTTTCAGGGAAATAACATGGTAAGAGTAGTTTTAGAGGCATAGAGGTGGGAACAGATCCTGGGGACTCAGAAATTGGATCAGTTTAGTACAGGCATGAGTTATTAAGGACTTAAAGGAGGTTAATGGCAGCATGATTTATACATTGTACTTAATCATTGAATGTATTTACATGATTGGATTTATGTTACTTTGGTGTTCTTTTTAATTGTAGGAATAATAGCTACATAACAATTCAAAGGATACAGACTTGTTGATAAAGAAAACTGCTCACCATTCTCCTTCCTCATGTAATCAATGCTTGCATGTTGAAGTGTAGCCTCCAAATCCATGAACAAAGATGCTAACAGAACTTGCTGGATATGGGAACCAGCTGGATATGGGAACAGGAGGGAGAAGGAACTGTGACCCTATGCACTTTGCTATCCTGGTTATTTGTAGACACCAGGAAAGCAGGGAAGAGAAAATTTTCTTACAAACCAAGTGTTTAGTTGTTCTTCTCAGTAGTTCCTTGAGGTAGACAGGTAGGTAGATAGTTAATGCTTCTTTTTAACTACTAGAAGAATCAAGCTTGTGTAATTTATCTTAGAGGAGATAGTTTGCAAGAAAATAGTAAGTTCAAGACTTCTTTCATTTTAGAGATCGGCTATAAATGGCTAGTACCTTTTTTAGTACTGATCTTGAACTTACTAGTTATCCTAGGAACAAGGCCTTTCTGTCTGTAGCCTTTAAAAGGCACAGCGCCTATGCCAAGGACTTTTTTAAGGACCCATAGAGATAATTGAAAAATAAATACAATAATGATTAGTATTAGTATTACATTAGTATATAGTATTGGCTCTAAAATATGAAAATTATGAAATTTTGAGAATCAATAAATGCTCAGTCTGTATTTGTGAAACATAATGTTGGGGTAAATTTCTTTTTCACTTTGTAAGAACTCTCTATTATTCATAAACTTAAATGGTTTATTCTTAACCAAGTAATTATAAGCACATATGAGTAGGTGTGTATGTACACGTAGCTATATATTACTGAATCCTGATGAAAATGCATTCAACCTGCGTTGTTTCCTCTAATCTTCAGGACAGCCTTATGTGGTAGATACTCTTCTCCCTATTTAATGAATAAGGACGCTAAGTCTGAGATACGCTGCCAGAGTCTCACGATTTTAGTCAGACTAGATTGAAACCCAAACATCTGTACCTACAAACCCTGAGCTTTTAATCATTTTGTACATTACCTTGACACTGAGCATGTCTCTGACAAGAGAAATAGAGAGGAGGTACAAGCCAAAAATTAAAAACTTAAGGACTATTCACATAATCCAAGAAGTGGTGACAGAAGAACAGAAATTAAGTGGTTCCAGAGGTTGAAGACAAAGAGTTTGGCTTGGGTCCATGAAGTCGCAGCACACTGTTGGAGGTGGTGTGGCTTCATAGACGGGAAGAACAATAGTGTCCAGGGCTGCTAAGTGGTCAGTGAGATGAAACATGTCCGTCCAGGAACTGTTTTAGTACAGTGCATGCAGCAGAGATACCATTGTAGAGCATCCTTGGTGGGGAGCTCACAGTGAGGTAGAGGATATTTGTGAAATGACATCCACAGACAAACACAAACCTTTTTCATGTGTGTCCTAGGTGCAATTAAGAATCTGCCATAGTTTTATGACTTGTTACCTTCTGCCCTTGGTTGTCTGAGACTTGGATTCAGGCCACAGAGACTTCCACTTTGCTATTACCCAGCCAGTGACATTGACCAAAGAGCCATCTCTGGAGTGCAGGCTTTCCAGACAGGGTCTGGGTTCTCTTTGCAGGAAGTGATAAAGTCAGCAGGGGAAGGGAGGCAAGATGATGGAATGCGCCCAAGTGGAGGTGACAGCATGCTGCATACTTTATTAGTTCCCATAGGTGCTGTAACAAATTGCCACAAACGGTGTGGCTTAAAATAACAGGAATTGGTTCCCTCACAATGCTGGAGGCTTAGAATGTGAAATCCAGGTGTCAGCAGTGTAGTTTATTCTGGAGGTTTCGAGGTAGAATCTGCTCCGTGCCTCTCTCCAGCTTCTGGTGTTTGCCAGCAGTGCTTGGCATTCCCTGGCTTGTTGTCTCATCAATTCCGTCTCTGCCTCCACCTTCTGACAGCATTCTGCCCTGTAGTATCTGTGTAACTGTGTGTCCAAATCTCCTCTTTGTATAAGGACACTAGTCGTCAGACTAGTGCCCATCCAAATCCATTATGGCCTCATCTTAACTTGATTACATCTGCAAAAACCTGTTTCCCAATAGGATCTCATTTACAGGTACTAGAAGTTAGGACTTCAAAATATCTCTTTGGGGAATATAATTCCACCCTTCTGTTTCATTCTTCAGTGGGAAAAAAAATCAAACTTCCTAAGTTTGACCACATGAATTTAAGAGGACAGGACGCAGTGGGGTCTCCTGGACTGAAGGCACTAACACGGAGTGCGTGGATCCTTCCCCAGTGCCCATTTTGTCTGCACAGTGGGGAGAACCACCTATCTTGGGATAGTGAACTATTGTTTGTTTGTTCGGTTATTCATTTTTCACCAACCTGAATGTGTTCTTTCTTCCTTACAGAAACAAACAGAACCATGGCAACTCCTTCTGCTGCCTTTGAGGCCCTTATGAATGGAGTGACAAGCTGGGAGGTCCCTGAAGATGCCATCCCATGTGAACTGCTTCTTATTGGAGAGGCCTCATTCCCAGTAATGGTGAATGACATGGGCCAGGTGCTCATTGCTGCCTCCTCCTATGGCCGAGGCCGTTTGGTTGTCGTGTCCCATGAGGACTACTTGGTGGAGACCCAGCTGACTCCCTTTCTCCTCAATGCAGTGGGGTGGCTTTGTTCTTCCCCTGGGGCTCCCATTGGTATCCACCCATCCCTGGCACCTTTGGCCAAAATCCTTGAAGGCTCTGGAGTGGAGGCAAAGATTGAGCCAGAAGTGAAAGACTCCCTGGGGGTCTACTGCATTGATGCCTACAATGAAACCATGACTGAAAAGCTGGTCAAGTTTATAAAACGTGGAGGAGGCTTGCTTATCGGAGGCCAGGCCTGGGATTGGGCCAACCAGGGTGAGGATGAAAGAGTGTTGTTCACCTTCCCTGGGAACCTCGTGACCAGTGTCGCTGGCGTGTACTTCACTGACAACAAAGGAGACACAAGTTTCTTTAAAGTCTCCAAGAAAATGCCCAAGATCCCAGTCTTAGTTAGGTGAGTATCTTATCCCACTGGAGAGTTGGCCCCAGGTTAAAAAGTAGAAAGGGTTCTGAGATCTGCAATTTGCTCCCAGTACCACAGAGGGGAATTTGGCACCCAGACCTGAATTGGCTGCAAATCAACTAGGTTTTACAAATACCTTGGGACACAAGAAGGGCAAGGTCTCATTGCTACTACTGCCCCAGACCACACCACTTAGGTCTTTGAGAGGAAGAACATTTTATTGGCTGTTATATCCCCAGAGTCTAGTTTGATCAAATACACTACTCACACCAAGAGCTGGCAAGGTTAATCCAGGAAGGTACATAGAAAAAAGCTGCTTTCAACTACAATGTGAAGAAGAAGAAGCAGACATGAAGGACCCTCTAAGCCAAAGTCTAGAGAGCTATGAGAAAGGTTTCAAATTATGCAGCCAGATGGAGTTCAAATGGAAATAGGAAGTAAAGTATTTCAGAAGTTAAGATAGCAGAAAAGGTGGTACAAGTTTTATGTGCTTAATCTAAGATTTGGGAGAAGAATTTTATCTCTGGAAGCAGGTGACAGGTTCAGAGACATGCTGCACCAATGGTTTTTGGAGCATGTTGTCTAGCCTGCTTTGTTCACATTGTAGTCCATCACCACATATATTCCAAATGTATAGGAGGTTAATAGGTGCTCAGTAAACATTTCTTGTATGTATGATTGCATGGATATATGACAGGGATTAGAAAGCTGAAGAAGTAGAAAAAGGGCATTAGACTTCTTTCTGTGTTATGCATTAACATTTGAGACTATATGAATATTCTGTTAGCCAACAAACTTTCTTTTTTTTTTTAATTAAATCATAGCAGTGTACATTAATACTGTCATGGGGTACAGTGTACTATTTTTGTATACAATTTGAAATACTTTCATCCAACTGGTTAATAAAGCCTTCATGTCTTTTTCTTAGTTATTGTGTTAAGACATTTATATTCTACATTTAGAGAGATTTGCATGTACCCTTATAGGATGAAATATAGGCGTGATCCCACCAATCACCCTCCCTCCTCCCCTCCCTCTCCCCATATTCCTGGGCTAAAATTGGGTTATAGCTTTCTTATGAAAGCTATAAATTAGTTTCATAGTAGGGCTGAGTACATTGGATACTTTTTCTTCCATTCTTGGGATACTTTGCTAATAAGAATATTTTCCAGCTCCATCCATGTAAACATGAAGGAGGTAAAGTCTCCATCTTTTTTAATGGCTGCATAGTATTCCATGGTGTACATATACCACAATTTATTGATCCATTCGTGGATTGATGGGCTCCTGGGCTTCTTCCATGACCTAGCAATTATGAATTGGGCTGCAATGAACATTTTGATATAAATATCTTTATTGCGTGGTTGTGGAGAAAAGGGAACACTTCTACACTGCTGGTGGGATTGCAAACTAATACGTTCCTTTTGGAAAGACATCTGGAGAACACTTAACTAAAAATAGACCTGCCATTTGATCCTATAATTCTTCATTAGGTATATATCCCGAAGAACAAACTTTCACTAAGTGGTTTTCGTTTTCATCCATGATCTGTGCCTGATTCAATATTTATGAAAGTGATTACATACTTCTACCACTTGAGTACCTCCTGATCCTTTCTTCAAAATTCAATTCAGGTATCCCCTTCTCTAAGAAGCCTTCTCCCACCCCTCCCATTCAGATATCAAGCTTTTCCTTTGTGTACCCATAGAACTTGCCCCAGTCCAAGTGTAGGTTTACTTACAGTTTTCTCCCAGAACTGATCAGAGTCCTTCTCTAAAGAACTTTCCTTCCCCACCTTCACATTCATGGGTAGGTTTGTGCTTCTTTTTAAATTAGTTTATTTTAGTATCACTTTATATTTAGAAATACATGTGAATCTCTCTAAATGTAGAATATAAATGTCTTAACACAATAACGAAGAAAAAGACATGAAGGCTATTTTACCCAGTTGGATGAAAGTATTTCAAATTGTATATAGAAACAGAACACTGTACCCCATGATAGTATTAATGTACACAGCTATGATTTAATAAAAAGAAAAAGAAAAAAATTAGCTGCATTATAATACATTTATAGTCAGTATTTTTGAAGGTCAAAAGACCAAAATTGGGCATGTTAAAGTCCCATTAAGCTGTCTCCTAAGACCTTTGTATGCCCACCATATATTATTTGTTTGTGTTTGTATTTACTTAATTTCTGGCACAAAAAGATGTTGCAAACTTATCTTCTTCTTTTCTTATTCAAAACTTAGATACAGCCATTTCTTGAAGCAATATTAGTTCCTTTTAATGGTTAATGGAACTTAGAAGCCAATATCTAAGATATGCTTAATGCTATAGAATTGTCTTCATATCTGAACCCCTCAGAAATATACATATATTTCTTAGCTTTGCCTTAGAAATATGTATTAAATATATATATCTTTAACTATATACTCTGTATATATATATGCAGTATATGCTTTTTAATCATAAATTTTTACCAGTATCCCTAATTTTAATGCCAAACCACAGGATTCTTCTCTTTCACTTATTCCATATTTGTATTCTCCTTCTTCCATAGTGGTAATCTTGACTCAGTATTTCCTCATTTGTTCAGTTTTGCAATACACACAAAATAGCTTCATGATTACTGTACATATACTATTACCTCCATCAAACTTAATTAAATTATTTTTTTTTTCCTCAGAACATATCACACTGAGTATATAAAGTCCTAGTACTATGTTCGAAACTTATGCAGATTACTTTTTCATTTGGTACTATTTTTGTTCCACATGAGTTTTTCCCCATATTTATTGATTTAATTTATTTTTGTAATATGTGAACTATCAGCGTGGTTATAATAGCAAAATACACATTCTTCTTACGTGCACATGAAACATTCATGAGAATGGATTATATGCTATGCCATAAATTAGTCTTGGCAAGATTAAAAGGATTGAAATAATACAATGTCTATTCTGATCACATAGAACTAAATTAGAAATCATTAACATAAATACATCTGGAAAATCCCTAAATATTTAAATTTTAAAGCATTTCTAAATATGCCAGAAATGGGAAAGTACAAAAAGAAATTAGAAAATATTTGAATTGAATAAAAATAAAAGCATGACTTATTAACATGTCAAAAATTGTATGATGCAGTTAAAATAGTGCTGAAGATAAAGATATGCCTTTAAATTTTTTTATTAGAAAAGAAGAAAAGTTGAAACTCAAGGGACTAAGTTTCCATTTTAAGAAGGTAAAAAAGCAAACTTGAATTAAACTCAAAATATGTAGAAGCAATAAGGAAATAATAAAGATGAGAGCATAAATTAGTGAAATAGGAAATAAAGAATAGAGTGAATCAGCAAAAGCAAAAGCTAGTTAGTTGAAAAAAATAATAAAAATGATAAACCTCTATAGACTGATCCTGAGAATAAAAAGCATAACACGATATTATGAATTTCAGTAATAGAAGAATGAACATTAATACAGATCCTACAGACATGAAAGAATAATAAATGAATTTACAACTTAATGGCAATAAATATGATAAATGGACAAATTTCCTGATAGATACAAATTACTGAAATTGACACAAGAAGAAACAAAATACGTGCTGAATAAATTGACTTGTAATGTAAAACATACATTATAAACTATAATAGATTAGATACTAGAAGACATTAGTGGAAAAATGGGTAAAATTCATACTCAGTTTGAAGTTTAGTTAATAGTAGTGGATCAGTGCTAACATTTTAGTTTTGACAAATGATTGCACTCAATGTTAACATTAGGAGAAACTAGGCCAAAAGATACAGATACTTTCTCTATAATATTTGTAACTTTTCAATTATTTTAAATTTCAAAACAAAAAATGATATATAAAATCAACAACAACATAAAGAAAAGTCCAGATAGCTTCACTGATAAATTTTATCAAAGATATAAGGAGCAAATAATACCAACCTTACATAAACTTTTCCAGAAAGTAGAAGAGGAGAAAAGTTTTCTTAACTTGATCCTTTAGACCAGCATTTTTCAGATAATAAAACCAGAGAAAGACATTGTCAGAAAAGAAAACTAAAGAACAACATTCCTCATGAACATAGATGCAAAAGATCTTAGAAAAATATTAACAAATAGAATATAGCAATATATAAAAAGAATACTACCTATATCGTGATCAAATAGGGTTATGCTAGACTGTTTTAACATTCAAGAATCAAATTAGTTCACCATATCAGTAGAATGAATAAGAAAACCCATACAATTCAATAGATGTACCAAATTTTTTGACAAAATTTAATACTGAATTATGATAAAATTTTTAACAAACTCAAAATAAAAAGAACCTTCTTCAACCTGGTAAGTGACATCACTAAAGTAACTATAGCGGAAAACAATCATAATGGTGAGATACTGAATATTTTCTCCCAAAGACCAAGAATAAAGCAAGGAAGAGCACTGGCTCTTACTTGCTCTATTTAACACATGGTCCTAGCCATGCAATAAGTTAACAGAAGAATAGAGACTGAAAATTAAGCAATAAATTTAGTTGTGTGATTTGGTTCACATTCTGTATTTTCTAGAAGACTAAGCAAAGAGACAGGAAAAGTTTGAATCTTGATATGAGAAAACAAATCACAAACATCAAAAGCACAGAAAGTATTTTACACATAAAGATTTTTAAATGACAAGATCCTTTTGAACATAAGGTCAACAGAGCATTTTCTAGACTATAATTATTTTATACCTGAAAGTATTTGTAGAAAATATGATCACTATGTAAAAGTTTCTAAAAATTGTACCAAGAAAAGCTACTATAATAATTATCTTTAACAAAGTTGCAGGAGATAAAATCAATATACAAAAACCAATTACATTTTTATATACTAGCAAAAAACAATTGGTAATTGAAATTAAAAATACAACAACATTTAAAATAGGACTCAAAATTGTGAAATACTAAGGGTTAAATTTAATTAAATAATGTCACAAGAA